GAACTATCATTCGGCAGAAAAGGAAGTACTCGCGTTACTCCTATTACGAAAAGTGTGTTCACTCAATTGGCTAGAAAGACATTGCATGTACTCCACGCTGGCGTGGGTGCACAAGTGAAAGTCCTTGTTTGGTCGTGCTGTGCAGTTTGCAGTGCTGCTGTCTCCCTGGCAGCTAGAAGTTCAAAGAATAAGAGAGAAGGACTGTTTATTCTCGCAATTACTCCAGTCGACGATTACTAACTTTGTGGACCTAGACGAGTCGCTAGCGCTGGTAGCCCCACCGACTAAGGGCTCTCCGAACACTCGGATGGACCCCAGTCTACTGTATGCGCAATTACCACACAATCACGACGGACTGGTTGTTTCCTTTGACGGCTCGGTGAAGACCGAAAAGAATGGTGGATACGGGAGCTGTTCCTGGATAGTGTGGAAATTGCATGAATGGCATATAGTGCTCGCTGCGAGTGCCTACCTTGACGTCACTACGGTGAATATGGCTGAGTATAATGGGATGAACAACGGAGTGCTTGCTGCACTAGAACACGGAACTGAACATTTAGTTATATTTGGCGATTCAAGGTTGGCAATCAAGCAATCACTAGGGGTGATCGCATGTCAGAAGGATTCATTGGTCGCACTGTTGAACCGACACCGAGAACTAACAGCCAAGCTGAAGTCAGTTCGATACCTGCATGTGGTTCGTGAATACAATGCAGCTGCTGACTCGCTTGCTGGAGAAGCACTGGAGTCGAAGGTGTCAAAAGTGGTGCTCAACGACCACCGAAAGTCGGAGTTAAAAGAACTTAACAGAATCCAAGAAATGATCTACGAGGCGTCTTCGGACGAAAACAAGGTCATGAAGAGTGAGTCTGAGAATTCCGTTCAAATTACGCTAGGTATAACACGACAAGCTAGCGTTCCAAGTGGTGAGATTGCCGTACAAAGTAAGACATTCACCGATTTCGTGCCACGAATCGCAGCTATGACTCGAAGCCAAGCTCGGAAGAAGAGCAAGAGAGTCCATTTCGAGGATGACCTGGAAGACAGTGTAATAGAGGCCGAGATAGAGGCTGAAGCACTAACCGACAACTCACAGGCAGAGGCACAGCAGACGAATGTTGAGGCACAACACACGCCAAATGCCGACGATATCGACCCTGTAACAGTACAAGAAGAGCGACGTCGATGAATTTCCAAAGCACAAGATGAAGAACAGAGGTGGTTGATGCTTAAGGCCATCCTTAGAGGCGAAACCACGAAAATGAGCTACAAGGAAGCTCGAGACGCGTGTCAATGGTCTGACAAGTTTGTTCTATCCAGTGATAACATACTCTACTATGTGGGCCCAACTCGACGTAAATCGGAAGATGACCAACCGGGGTTGTCGTTGAGACTTGTAGTACCGACAACTATGATCCAAGAAGTGCTGCAGAATTGTCATGACTCTAACATCAAGGTGTCGTTCGATCGTATCAGAGGGTGAAGCATGACTACTATTGGATTGGACTGTATGTAGATGTGGAAAACATGTGAGGTTGTGCCTTGACTGTAGCTCGATTAAGAGCGCACCACAGCTCAAAGGCTACTCACCTGGTAACGTGCTCGCAGAACGACCATTCCAAGTTGTGTTAATGGTTTCGTTATCCCGCCGCCGAAGTCTCGTCGAGGCAATACAGCCCTACTACTCTGACAGTGTCGTTGACTGGGTTTGTCATTGCTAAAGCAATGTCAGATACAGACGCATTAACAGTAGCTAAAGTCTTCGAAAATATACCGAAGATTCGGTGTACCTTCGTTGATACGCCATGACCGTGACCCTCGCTTCATGAGTGAAGTGTTTCAAGCATTCGCTGAATTGATCCAGGCGAGGTCACGGTCTACATTGAGCTATCGTCCACAAGCAAATGGTCAACAGGAGCGCTCAGTGAAGACAGTCATGCAGTCAGTGAAAGTCTTTGTTGAATACCCACTACAACAAGACTGGGACGAAATCGCGGAACGACTTGTATTTGCTATCAATAACTCGCATGATATGACGAGAAAGGAAACTTCATTTTACCTAGTGCACGGCTGGGACGCTCATACGAATTTGCGTGCTATGACGACCTCGTTGAAGCGTGGTATTGGCAGGCAGTCAGAGGCATTGGCCTGGAGGCGAGAAATAAACCGCCAACAACAAGTGGCGCTCGAAATGTCTAAAGAATACCAAGCCACTGAGAAGGCAAGACGGGCACGAGAACAC